ATATATATATATATATATATATATTTATTTATATATATGTGTGTGTGTGTATATATATATATAGACACACACACACACACACACACACAACAAACACAGTGTAAGGCAAAATTATTAGCTGTTCTGTGAAACTTTCATTTTTTTTTCCAAATATTTCTCAAAAACATTTTTAAACATAATAGTTTTAATAATAATTTATAATTACAAAATAATAAAAATAAGCCAGCACTAACTTTTGGACATTTACACCTACCTAACTTTAAACAGTTACAGTTCTTGACCCCAGTGAGCTACAAACACAAATTAGGTATTATTAGAAAGAAGACACTCCTTTACTGGGTTTACTGTAGTAAAATGTAAAGTTTCATGCTTAAAAATAAAAATGTTACACATTATGAAGTCATGAAAAAAAATGTTCTGTCTTCAATATTTGTTTTTCCATATACAGAGGAAAACATTTATGTAATGTCCTAAATAAGATTTCTGTAAAAAGTTTTCCTAGACTATATCGGTGTCCTTCTTTCCCCCACCGTCAGGGGCATTTTCTCAAAAATGACACTTCCATTACCAAACTAAAACAGTAAGAGTCGCTGAATGAATTGGTCTACATTCACAGTTCATGTATCTTTGGAAAGAAGACACTTGATGCTTTATTATCCATCATCTAGAGCAGTGGGTCTCAAACTTTCTTCAAGTACCACCTCAGAAAGAAATTGTCTCTCAAAGTACCACCAAAATGAGCAGTATTGAAATACAGTAGGCCCAGTAAAGCAGCTACAACTCTGCACAGTTAAAAAAATGTGGCAGATTTCCTCAGAAATACAGACTATATGTCATATTTGGCATATTATATACATCATTTTTGATTAGTTTTGAAACATGTGTAGCATGTACATGACATATTTCATTCCTCCGCGTACCACTAGAAGGAAGCCTGCGTACACGTACCACAGTTTGAGAACCACTGATCTAGAGTTTATAATGCTTAAAATGAAAAAAAAAATGAAAAAAACGTTACAGATGGTTAAGTATGTCTGTGGACCAAGCAGAGATCTTCATAAAACTTCTCGAAGGATAACTTGGCATTGTTTGACACAAAGTGTCCTATAAGAGAACACTGGAGGAAATGTTTTTTTGTTTGTTTGTTTTTTAGTTTCCTTCTATCATAGTATTCATCAGCACAGCAGCATGTGTAGCACATGGGAAAGTTTCCACTTCAAGACGTTCGATGGGGACATTTATCAGTACCCAGGCTTGTGCGAGTATAACCTGGTGTCGGACTGCACATCAAAACAGTTTTCGGTTGATGTGAAAAGAACCCAAACCAGCAGTGGCCCAAAGATCAGCAGGATCGTGGTTAGCATCAATGGCAAAATGTTTTCAATCAGCGAAAACAACGTCATGATCGATGATCAAATGTAAGATTCTAAAGCACTAAAGCACTGATTATTTTCTTCCTCAGTAAACACAGAGTAGTAAAGATGTAGTGTGGTATTCATTTGAATAATTTTTTTTAAGTACAAAGCTGCCCGTGTATGAATCAGGGATCCTTATAGAAGAGAACACAATCTACACCAATATCCGATCCAAAACAGGCCTGACCGTCATGTGGAGCAAAGATGGGGCAGTCACGGTAAGACATTTATTGTATTAGTGACTGATTTTTAGTATTTGGATTAGTAATAACTGAGCATTACTGAAAAAATTAGCTGGGGAATGGAGCAATGACCATTAAAGGAAAAAAGCGTCAAATTCTAAAATATCTCAAATATTATTTTGAAGTTTTTGCAATGCATTTTAATGTTTTATTTTTGTTTTTTGTTTAAAAAAATTGTTTGGCTATCTTTCTTCTTTTGAACACTGTTAAAAGCTGGAAGCTTGTTACCATTGACTTCCAAAGTATTTGTTTTCCTATGTAAGATGATTGTTGCAAGTTTTCTTCTTTCTTCAAAATTTTCTATCAGAGTAAAGAAACTCATAAAGTTTGGAACCACTTGAGGGAGAGTAAATGATCATTTTCATTTTTGATTTTAATTTATTTATTTCTTTTTTTATATATAATTGTTTTATCATCACAAACTCGTAATGTTTTCACCACCAAAAATGAAAAATAACTTACAATTTAATCTCCCTCAAGTGATTGCAAACCTTTTGTGAGTTTCTTTTTTCTGTTGAACATTTAAGAAGATATTTTGAAGAAACTTAACTTACAAAGGGAAAGCAAATATGGAAAACAATAAATATACAGCTGTACGGATATTATATGAATGATAGTATTTGATGGATAAGCAGTTCTGTTTATTATACGCTTGGGTATTTTTTCTGAACAACGAGCATGCAGATGAGCTTGCCTTTGAAAGTTTGTGCAGAAATGATTTGGCCATGCAAATAATGCATGACTCAGACTTTCCAGCAGAGGGAAACAGTTCACAGAACTTCTCAATTCTCCTCAACTAGCTTAATTACTTCAATGATTTCATCTGAGACTGGCTTGTTTCTATGTGTATTTAAGGCATGTTGTTCACTGCTACATTTGCTATGTCTTGGAGCGGGGGTGGTACTGAAATTGAGAACCACTGTCCTAAACCAATCATTTGTGGAACTGTGTCTTATGACCACACGTCTTTTATGTTGGAGTTTGTTTCTCTGAGAAAGACTTTAAACAAAGACTATAAATAAATAACGATTATTTGCTTACAACTTTGTGTATTCCTGCATAATTTTGGTTTAGGGAAAAAAAAACTTTGACAGAATACGAATTGAGCTAAATGGCATTTTTTAAAAATCGCTGTAATTAGGTTATTGCATTTGTTGAATTGATTTTACCAACAAAACTGTTTACAAAATCAGAATTTGGTGCAAATTGAAACAACTTGTCAATGTATATCTACAGTGTGTATTCATATTAATGATTGATTTGGCCAGTCTGCACTGAACTGAATAAATTAGCATTTTAAAACTGTCTCATGGAGGTAATGTAAAACGATTGAAAATCTTTCTTTGCTTTTTCTGTTTTAGGTCGAGCTGGACAATAAATATCAAAATAAAACCTGTGGATTGTGTGGTAATTTCAACAGGATTCGTGATGAGTTTATAACAGGTGAGTTGCTGTGATTCACTGACTTCTGTCTTATTTTGTTATTATCCCTTTGTGTATTGCTAATTTAAGAAGATCAAGTTTCTTTATCAGAAAGCTAACTGTGTATAATCTTATTCAATAAAGAACCAGGAAACACAGAAAAAATAGGCTACATTGAATTTGGGAATAAGCACAAAGTTTTCAACCCAATGGAATTTTGTGAAAATCCTTCTGAGACAGATGAAAAGAACAACTGGAAAGCTATTTGCGGAAGTTATGTAAGTAAAAAAAAGTTTACTTATGGGTTTTAATAGATTGATGAGGAATTTTTCAAATGCATGCAAATTTACTTTGACAACAAATTCAGAAAATTACATTATATATCGGAGGTAAATGCTAAACATATACCTTTGTCTCCACAGCAAGCAGATTGTGAAGAGCTTTTCAGGGCTAAAGCCTGGTCCTCTTGTGCCATGAGCTATCATCCATATGTAGATGCATGTGTGTATGATAGATGCTTCAGCAAGTCCTCTTCACTCTGTGCGACTCTGTCTGAATATTCACGCCAGTGTTCACGTAATGGAGGAACTCCATCAACCTGGAGAACAAAAGACTTTTGTGGTAAGGGAATGGTAATGGACTGTTCTAGTGCTACTTTGTTTGACGGTAAGCAGCCACTTAAAGTACCGGGGAATTAGGGGGTCCCTATCAATCCCAAGAAGCCTAAATAGATTTTCTATCATATGTTGTAAAATCTGTCTATAACCATAAAGATTTTAATGTTATTACTTTTCAAAATCTGGTGCCCTCATGAATAGTGAAACTTTCCTTATGTACTGCATGCAAATATTAAAATCAAACCACAAATATGGTTAATTAACTGTAGAAATAGTTTGTGAACGTGTTTATTATTTGTGAATTCATTACATTTAATTTTACATTAAAAATATAGAGGTTCCACTTAACTTTTTTTTTTAACATGCCGTTTATTTACAAAAAAAAAAAAAAATCTACAAAGAAACATTTATTCATTCATTTTCTTGTCGGCTTAGTCCCTTTATTAATTCGGGGTCGCCACAGCGGAATGAACCGCCAACTTATCCAGCACGTTTTTCTCAGCGGATGCCCTTCCAGCCGCAACCCATCTTTGGGAAACATCCACACACACATTCACACACACACACACACACACTCATACAGTACGGACAATTTAGCCCACCCAATTCACCTGCATCGCATGTCTTTGGACTGTGGGGGAAACCAGAGCACCCGGAGGAAACCCACGCAAAGGCAGGGAGAACATGCAAACTCCACACAGAACTGAGCTGAGGTTCGAACCAGCGACCTTCTTGCTGTGAGGCGACAGCACTACCTACTGCGCCACTGCCTTGCCCAGCTCGACCTATGGATAAGTTGGCGGTTCATTCCTCTGTGGCGACCCCGGATTAATAAAGGGACTAAGTCGACAAGAAAATGAATGAATGAATGATTTATTTTGTGTTGTCACTTTATGTACACTGGAAGCTTCTGTAGCCAAAACAAATTCCTTGTGTTTGTGAAGCACACTTGGCAATAAAACTGATTCTGATTCTGATATAAATCTTTAAATTGCTACAGTAGAAGAAATCTGTACACCTTTATATATAAATTGCTATATAGAATTTGAAATAAATAAACAATAGTGAGTGAAGTAATCGGCTAAAACTTCCTCCAATAATTTGTAACATTTTTTATTTGCATTCTCATGCAGCTGTGACATGCCCTTATAATACGGTACATTTTGAGAGCGGCTCTCCCTGCATAGACACATGCTCGAGTGAAAACACAAACACCCAGTGTGAGGAGCACAATATCGATGGCTGCTTCTGCCCACCAGGTCAGTCCCTAAATCTCAATATTTAGTGAATTTCACCACAGTTTTATTTACAGTCTTTTAATTAATGTGACTGATTTAAGAACCACTGCATATTACAAGGCTGTTTAAATAGCCAAGGCACTCTTCTTAAAATAAGTTGTCTGTTTTCTCAAAGCACAATAAAAAAAACCTTAAACTTGAAGACTATGTACATATGTAAGGACATGATTAATGCCGATTTTTGTGTATCGTTTTGTGGAAAACAGACAATAGTTTGTGCATAAAGGAGAAATGTTTGTATTTATTTGAGCTAATATGATGTGTCATAGGAACTGTGTTTGATGACATCTTAAACATGGGATGCATCCCACGGGAACAATGTCACTGCAAGCACGACCGCATCTACAAACCACAAGAAGAACTACATGAAGTAGGGCAAGACTGGTAATGACACTTACTTTTTTCAAAAGTAAACTTGTAAGTAAAACATTGTAGACCACACTATTACAGTATCTAATATCTGTATTCTCGATAGTGGTTGTTTGCCATGTATATAACTTTTTGGTTTCCTTCAGTGTGTGTCAGAATGGAAAATGGAACTGTAAAATAAAACCTGTTCTCGGCCGGTGCTCAGTAGAGGAAGGATCTCACTTCACCACCTTCGATGGGCAGGAATTCACTTTCCATGGAGACTGTACCTATGTGCTCTCAAAAGTAAGGATGTTTTAGTTACGATCACAGTGTGTGTGTACTGGTTTTGATGGTTTATGAGGTCATTCTTTTGTATAATGACATAGTTGTTCTCTATAAAAGTGGTTTACGGGGACTTGTCTGATGTCTTTGTAATTCAAAATCCTTGAAAATCATACTTAATGGGGTCTTTTGACAATAAAATTTTGCCACAGGTTTCCTGTGAGAGTTGGGTTTAGGTATAGGGGTGTGTTAGAGCCATATAATTGTTAAAATATATACACCTATAGAGAGTCCCGGTAAACCACCAATACTATTGTTATTATTATATAAAATTTATAAGTATGAAACCTAATTCTCTGTGTGTTTCTGAAGGACTCTGTAGGGTCAAAGTTCATCATATTGGGTCAGATTTCACCTTGTGCCTCCCTTATTTATGACACCTGCTTAAAATCCATAGATGTGATATTTAACAGTGACACTGTCAATGTGAGTACAGTACACTACAAGCAAAATGTTCTAGATTTGGCTTTTTTTCTGCTTGTAAGTGAGGAATTAATCTCACAGGTAAGTTTGAAATTGAACATGTACTGTATGTCTTTCTTCATTAGCGCCTGGTGATTTCTGAAGATGGGACAGTAAAACACAATGCAGCAGTTTTACTTCCATACACTCCAGGTAAAAGAGACAATCTCCATATCTTGTTTTTGTTTTAAAATCTGTCTACTGAAACTTAAAGTGCTCCTAATATATACTGTTTTTTCCTTGACCCATCCAATGTCAAAACACTTACTCTATGGTCTGAAAGGATTGGTCAATTGGTTGCATTACAATGAGTTTCAGAAAAAAGAAAACAAAAACCACATCTGAATGCCAGCTGTGGAAGCTTCATTAGCACTTGGATACAAACAATCGCATAGGTTTTACTGTTCTGATTCGAGTCCACATACTCATCCTTAAAAATACATGCAAAGTTTTTCTCTTTTAGAAGAAAGCATTTTCCTCTCAAGAAAAGCAACCAAGCTGTTAGGGCACAGCTACAAATAGGGTTAGGGCTAGAGTTAGGGTTACATTAAGCTTAGTTTTGTATCTTTGTCCATGAAGTAAATGTAGGAATACTAACGACTTGATCCAGGCTGTTCAGATTCAGAATCACTTCTTTTTTTGGGGTAACAGGTAACATTTGAAAAAAGCAGACTGTAGAAAAAAAAAAACTAGGACAAAAAAGTGCCAGTAACATGGCTGAAAACTGTGAAATTGTGCGGTGTGATCTATTCATCTAATGCTGGTTGGCCGATGGATGACAAACTTTACAATGCTGAGCCAGCATCGCGATCCATCGCCCCGCCCCAAATTTTTATTGACATATAACTTATTATTTGCATGTCATCTCAATAGCAATAACGGTATTTTCATGAGCTTTGTTAAATGTTACTTATAGCTGCCCCTTGCACGGCTGACAGCATCGTAATGATTAAATAAAGTATTTTACAGTACCTCTCGCGCTTAAAATGTGTAGATTCAGTGGCAAACGCTGTTACCTGCAAACCCCGTCCCACAGACTTAAGTCATATTCAAAGCGGATTTGAAGCCACTGGAAGTCTTTTATCCACTCTTGGAAAAGTGTAAATGCTGGATTAACATTCAGCACATGATCACTAATAAGATGTGTCAGTATTAGTAACTCTAGATAAATCTGTCAGTGTTATTTTCATTCTCTCATCTTCAGCGCTTCACATTTTCGCGGTTGTAGCTCCTGTCATCAGAAGGCATTGACTGCGTGATTGACAGCTGATATTAACCAATCATTCGCGTTCATTTCTAGATCAGTGAGTCAATAAGAAGAGCAAAAAGTCGGGGCAAGCATTGTGGGCTTTTTTTTTTTACTTCAGCTAGTTCACATAACAACTGTTTTAATTTGTTCCTGAGTGCTGCATCTGGCGTTTTTAGGTGCAAAGATGCATTCTGCATAAATGTCTCCTAAATCCGCGCATGCGGTGAGGATTTTACAGTGAAAACAATGAAAATGTATGCACTACAGTGAACTCTAACCAAACTCTCGTCTCCTCCACCAGCTGTGGGAAAAGCCATTAGAATGACACAGATAACTGCCTATTCATGCCAGATTCCCACAGAAAAAAAGTGATTGACAGGTGGTCATTTCTTTGTAACTTTATTTATTTATGGTTTGGTTATGGGTAAAGCAAAGACCACGTGGGTCAGGTGGTGAAAACGATAGGCTACAGTTAATTAATTCGTTATGAATTAATTGATATTTAACAACCACCCCCACCCCCAGCCTATGACGACGATGGCATTGTCCATCCCGATGTTTCACATTAGACATCGTACGATGCCAAATTACGATGCCAAATCGCCCAACCCTACATGTTAGGTTTTATCTTTTGACTACTTTTTAGTTTTGTTCAGTGATATTGCAGGCTGATGTAGTCACTATCTAAAAATGTTCAACTTTATTCTCATTAAGTTTTTAAAATAACACTGCTTTAAGGAATAATGTTTGTGAAGGCAGATATTTTTTTAAAACATCAAACTCTTTTTCTCTCAGCTTCACGTCAATTCGTTGTGTTCAGTCCATCATCGTTCTACATCCTGATTGATACAAACTTTGGGCTGCGAGTGTTGGTACAGCTGGTGCCTCTCATGCAGGTGTACATCACCATGGATAAGAGATTCCAGGGCAAGACTCATGGTGAGAATTTGGAGACAAATCATATAAATCATTAGTAAGGAAATCACAATGACCACTGATGCATTGCTCATGCAAGACCATAACCTGAAATGTATTTGACCAAATGAATTAAAGGAAAATATACAATTAGAACATGTTCAGTAATGAATTATGAATTTAAATGATGGAAACATGTTAAATTTGATTTAACTGTGTACATCTGAGATGCATCTTGTAAAGCAATTAGCCATAATAATGAAAAGTCTGACACAGTATTGCTGAAATAATCTGACCGTCACATGCAACTTTTCAGTTACTCATTCATGCAGACGCTAAAGAGGCACATGTCATGATTTTGCCAAGTATGATGCGATCCTGGATTAACATCTATGTTGATTCTGAAGCATCGATTTTGTTCGAAAATGCAACCCATACTTATTCTCTACCCCTAAACCCAACCATGACTGAAAATCATTCCCAAAGTCAGAGGGGAATAATAGATGGATAACAGTCATGTATAGGTTTATGAACCCAACCGTAAGTTTAAACTTAACATAAATGGTAAACATATCCCTTAATTCTGATTGGCTGATTGGAATGATGTTCAAGGACCCACAAAGATTTCGTCCTAGATTTTATGTCCTACTCAGTGAAATTAGGTTGGCATCAAAGAGGCACATATAAGATTTCATATAAAAAGGGCAAGTCATTCTCATCTGCACGTGTTCATTTGTTTGTGCAGGTCTCTGTGGAAACTTTAACAAGGTGTTGGCTGATGATATGAAGACCCCTCAAGGATTGGTGGAGGGTACAGCGGTTTCCTTCGCAAACGCCTGGGAGGTTGAAACAAACTGTCGTTCTGATAAATCCGTCATCCCCTGTTCCCACAACAGTGTCAGTGGTAAAATGCTTTTTTAATTATGTTTTTTCTTCTATTTTTGCAAACACAGACTAAAATATAAATATTCTGTCAGCACCACTTCCTTCAATAATTATATTTTATAACTATAAGCATGCTCTTTGGATTTTAAGTAAGGTTCTGTTTTTTAACACAGCCTAATAACAGCAAAACAAATTAGATAAATCGGAAAGATATCCAAGATATTTTCAGTGTTTTTATTAACTTTTCTGCAGACAGTTTAACAGTTAAACAGTTAACAAAATAATTATGTTGTCTGAAGAAAAAAAACAATCACCAACAAAACTCTTAAACACAAAGAAAATAAACCCCAACCACACTTCTCTGCTTCCACACCTTATTTCCCAGAGACCACAGAAAATTGAAAGTAAATTAAAGTATTAAAGAAATAAAAGCTATACGAAAATGTATGTTCTGATACATACACTGATAAAAAATAATATTTAAATTTGCAATGTTAATATAATTAATATAAAAATAAGAAGAAAAGTTAAAGTAAGAAAAGAATAAGTAAGAAATATTGTATTAAAATTTGGGGGAACACGGATTAAGTTTTTATATAAAGCGTCGGACTGAAAAAAGTGAAAAGATGGTAGTTGGGAAGCTTGAATTTATTCATAGTAGATGACAAAGAGGAGAAAATAATATTTACATTAAACGTTTTCATCCAATGAAAGCAGCTCAAGGATAACTAAAGAAGTAAATGACAGAGGACGTCTATGGTTGAATTTGGCTATGTTTGCTTGTAACACTAAATGTTGTGATTCCTGTAGAGAACTATGCTGAGCACTGGTGCTACAAGATAATGGACAAGAGTGACGTTTTTGCCCAATGCCACAGCAAAGTCAACCCAGAAAGCTACTACAAAGTATGAACTGAAACAGACCATTGTATAATTTTTCAAACAGCAATGGACCTCCCACAATTAACAGTGACACAACATCCTTGTATACTTTCAGAGATGCAAATACGCCAGCTGTACCTGTGAGAGGAGTGAGGACTGTCTGTGTGCTGTGTTTTCCTCATATGTCCATGCCTGTATGATTAAAAATGTAACACTTGAAGGATGGAGAGAAAACGTGTGTGGTAAGAAGGCTAAAATCCAATATTTTGGTAGACTAATGGATGTGCATCAAAGATGATATAAATTTAGGATTTAACACATGCACACTAGGAACAATAGCTATAATGAAAATTACACAACACTAAGTTGACCTTAACTATTACAATATCAGCTCTGAGGAACCACTATCAGAACTTTTATTCCATACTCTCAGAAATAAAGGTACAAGAGCTGTTACTGGGGTGGTATCTTTTTAAAAGGGTTACATTTGTACTTAAAGAGTCCATATTGGTACCTCAACGGTATATATTAGTACCTAAAAATTCAAAAGGTAAATATTTGGGTAACACTTTACAATAAGGTTCATTAGTTAATGCATTTACTAACATGAACTAATCATGAACAACACATGTACAGCATTTATTAATCAAAATTGAACATTTACTAATGCATTATTAACTTCCAAGTCTTGCTTGTTAACATTAGTTAATGCACCATGAGTTAACATGAACTAACAACGAACAGCTGAATTTTCATTAACTAACGTTAACTAACATGAACAAATACAGTAGTATATATGTATTGTTCCTTGTTTGTTCATGTTAGTAAATGCATTAATTAACATTAACTAATAAACCTTATTGTAAAGTGTGACCAATATTTTTATTTTTTTATGTATCAAGATGTTACCCTAGAGGTATTGAAAAGCCATGAAAGGGCCTCTTTCGGTTCAAGTCTACATCCGAATTTTTAAAAAATGCTTCATGATGGGCGCGGATCTCTGCCAGCAGAGGGAGGAGTGGGCATGGCCGACAGAGGAGGGGAGCGAACAACCGTTGTCAGTTAGCTTACAAAATGAGGCACAAACCGTGAGACCCATGATTTTATAGTTCACAAAGTTAAAATGCAAAGAATTAAACAGTAATGTAATGCCCTGCTACATTTGTTATTCGTAAATTCATATACACATAACCACAATTTGTTTTATCATGATGAAGATAATCATGTAAACACTATAAATGAGGAGGACTTCTCTCCTCCTCAATCCACGGGTCTGACTGCAGACACAGTGGATAGCAGTGCAGCAGGTCTCTTTCCCTGTCTATTCCAACCATTAACTCTGCTGATAATTCAAAGAATTTTAAAAATAAACCCAAAACACAGCAGCACGGATATAGGTGATGTGTCAGAATGGTAACTAACTCAACTGATAACAGACAAAGTCCGCCGTTCTCCTACTCTCGTACAGCTCTCTTGACAAAAATGCTTGCTGCAAACCAACAGCTTTGCTGCATCGGGCCTGACAGCATCGTAGGGAAAAACATGCAACAAACCCTATGAATCATGGAAACAAACACATACGACCCTTCATAAACGGCTAAATACTGCTTGCCGTGTGCGGACGCGATCTCACCCAATCATTGGGTCTCAGCTTGGCAGGTGTGCCTTGCCTTCGGAAAGCACATGTTCTCATAAATAAGAAGCAGGGTCTTTTCATAGGATAAAAAACTCCGCTATGAATAATAATGAGAAACCGACGTGTCATCACTACACTAGCAGATTCGGGCTACGTCACTAATTTTAATCTCGCCCCAAAAATGATTTTAACTCAGAAGATGAAATTAGCTGGCAAAAGCTCTAAATTATCCAGTTTTACACACAATTAAAGCTGACAGGTGCTAACAATGTTTTAAATGATGCTCAACACACACAAATCTGTTTAAATCTCATAAAAAATACACAAGGGTTTCTTGAACCTTTAATATGCACTCTTTTGAAAAGGTACCACACCAGACAGTTCTTGTACTTTTATTTCTGTGAGTGCAACTGATGGAAAAAAACAGCCAGTTGTCTTAGCAGTAGCTTTAAGAAAATGTAGTTCAAATTAAAATGTACCAACTTGACTGACTTCATGGAGCAAACACAAAAACTTTCAACAACACAACAAGAATGAAATGTACCCCACACACCACCTAATGCCATGAACTCTTTTGCTACTAACTATACTGTAAGTGTCTGAAAATTCTCTGTCTTTGTATAGATGATCTGGGGTTGTCATCTGCAGAGTTTTGGCATTGTAGTATGCATTATGTGCAAAATTCACTTTAACACCACATTCCTTGAAACTGATCCCCACAGGCAAGTATATACAGAACTGCCCAGCACCACAGAGATACTTCTATTACCTGAAGAGCTGCCAGCCTACCTGTCTTTCTCTTTCCTCTGAGCACACAAGCTGCAAAGAAGACTTTGTCCCTGTTGATGGATGTGCGTGTCCAGATGGACTCTACAAGGATCAGGATGGACAGTGTGTACCAATTGAAAAATGTCCATGTTACGGCATGGGAAAGATAGCCCAACCTGGCACATCTATCGACATTAATGGTCAATACTGGTAAGTGATTGCGAAATAGTTTTAAGCATTTAAATGTGTTTGAAATGTACACTTTGCAAACAAAATCTAATTCTTTAAATCTTGCTCTAGTGTTTGTGTGAATGGGGTGTTACACTGCGAGTCTGAGAAACCCCACATTCTTGGTAAGACAACATACTTTTGGTTGATGCTACATTTCCTGTTAATTGAGCTCTATTTAGCTACAATATGCCTTTAAATTATGCTGTTGGTGTATATAAGCTACCATGTTTAGAATGGGTGCAAATAATTGATAACCAGTTGGATTTTTACACAGTAAAGCTAGTAGGTAATGTGTATTTATATAGCGCATTTATTGTGTATAGCCATACACCCAAAGTGCTACACAATCATGAGGTGGGGGTCTCTCCACACCAACACCAGTGTGCAGCATCCACTTGGATGATGCGAAGGCAGCCACAGGACAACATTGCTCACCACACCAGCTATAGGGGGAGTGGAGAGACAGTAATAGAGCCAATTTGATGTATGGGGATGATTGGGAGGCCATGATGGGTAAGAGCCAATAGAGGGAATTTGGCCTTGGGATTGAGAGTTAGGACCTCGGTTTAACGTCTCCTCCGAAAGAAGGCTCTCACTGACAGTATAGTGTCTTCTTCACTATATTGAGGCATTAGGACTGACACAGACCGCAGATTGAGTGCCCTCTAGTGGCCTCACTAACACCACTTCCAACAGCAACCTAGTTTTTGCATGTGGTCTCCCACCCAAGTACTGACCAGGCTCAGCCCTGCTTAGCTTCAGTGAGTAACCTTTCTCCGGCTGCAGGGTGAAGCTAACTGTCTAACTATGGCATAGATGTCCAACAAAAACTGTCCAAGTGTGGTTTAAGTGTAATTTATCATTCTTTCTCATGGGTGTTTATCCATTGTCGGATATCTTTTTCAGAGTGCCCCTCACCAAAGGTTTTATTTAACTGCAGTACAGCTCGACCAGATCAACATGGACTAAAATGTAAACCAACTTGTATGCAAAAGATAGAAAATTGTGTAAGTCCAGTTTCCAATCTTGCCTTGTTTTTAAGTGTATCCTTTAATATTGTTAATATGTTTTTGAGGTTCGAGTGGGTTCTCGTGGGTAGTGATTGAGGAGTGGTAATTGTTAACTCCTACAAAACACTACAGGACTTTTTTTTTACACAATATGCCAAATACTCTGTCGCTTTTCATTGAATTTAGTGGGTTTATTGTAGCCAAAATGTAAATGTATGTGCTAATGTAGGCAATCGCATTCAGGATTTTTGAAATCGACAGATTTGGTATGAAGCAAAATGTTGCAGCTATGTGACCACAACAAAAAAAGGCTCAAATGCTAAATGGTCACTGCTGATTTTTTTTCAACCTTTTTTGCATGCTAGATATGAAATGTCTTTCAAGTTTAAACTACAATGGGTGTGTCAGAAAATCTTTTTTACCCACTTTTTCTCCCATTCTTGATTTACTGTCTTGTTCACCCACAGTTTTCACAGACATGTGAATCGGGCTGCCTGTGTCCTTCAGGTCTACTGGATGATGATAGAGGAAACTGTGTTGAAAGAAAAGACTGTCCGTGTCCTCATGGTGGACAACTTTACCAACCAGAGACTGAGATAACTGTAGACTGCAATAAGTGGTAACAATACGTTTCCATGGCTAATAAGAGTTTCATTTATGCTAGATTGCATAAAAATGTCACATTTATTACTAAGCCAAATTATCATAAAATTACCAGAATGAGGTTAATACTTAAATACTTGTAAATACTTGAATGATTTTTGTCTTTTTACTGGGAAGACACATTTCATACACTAGTCCCAAAATACCAGTAAAGTTGGCAGCAATTTTCTTTATCAAGTGAAGAAACTACACAGGTGACACATTGCTGAATAAAAAAGAAGTATGGTCTAAAGCACTAAATCTAGTGCATCAGACAGAAAAACCAGTAAAAGTAGCAGTAATAATTGGCTCAAGCAGAACTCTTATGGCAGATTGATCTGTCCTCGTACAGTTAATCCCATTTTTGTGTCCTTTTTCATGCACAACAGATAATTTACTGGTTATACTACAACATCTCATTATAATATTAATGATGCCGCTTTCCAAGACTGATTTACTGTGGGTTTTTGGAAAAGGCCCTTTTAGACATGACTTTATAGCTGTCTCATTTCAGAGGCTGCATCCTCCAAAGGATGCAGACTTCAAAGGTGAGTCCTCCGAAGTCTACACAAGCAGAAGCTTTTTGAAATGAGACGATCTAGCCCACAGAAGACAGATCTTGTCACCAGGCAACCGTAAAATCTGTCGTTAATAAGCAGTACTAAAATTTGCAATTACTTAAATTTAAAGTGATTAAAACGTATTTTAAGCGATCTGAAGACAAAGCAACGTTTGCAGAAGCTGGAAATATATTTCCTTTGATCCATACTGTATGTACACATAAAAATGTAAACTGTCTATAAAATCACTTTTTGGTAAGACATGTCGTACTACTTTTGATTTCTAAACGTGTGTTTAGATATCCAAGTAAAACCTAATTCATTCATTTAATCTGAAGTTTTCTTTTAAAAACGTCCTGCCATTATTAGCGTGCAATGAACGATGGGCCACAAATCATCCACCGGTAGTATCCATCATAACCTGGAAAACAAAGAACACATTTTGAGGCTGCATTTGAAGGAACCTTCAAATTTTTTTGAAATCAGACAGCCTTTGTTGCGCCACGATGTTTCAGCACCCTTTGAATGTATCCTTCGGAGGGTGCAGCCTCTGAAATGAGACACAGCTATTGTTAAAGTGCTATATGCATAAAAAGCGTTAATGTCTTTATTCAACAAATTCCATATTTGCCCCTTCACATCAGTAATGTATATTTGTATTGTTTTACTATAATTTATGCTGCATAGCATACACTCCTCTCCTGAGGCCCGAGAATTCCTGTTTTAAACATGGATTGCTAGCAGGAACTCTATCAATAATTGTAAAACAGAATTAGATATTATAATAAGTATAAAATATAAAAACACATAGCAGACGTACATACCTGTCAACATTGGGATGTGAAAATAAGGGATACCCCCCCACCCCCCACCCCCTTTATTATTATTATTTACAAAAGAAAAAAATAAATATATACATTAGCAGCAAATAAATTAGCAAACAGTTCAGTTATTAAAATTAATAGCTGTTATGAAATAGAATCAAGCTATCAAATCTCATTAGCCTTTTCTTCACTGTATAACTTACACATTCTGATTAAAGAGCATGAATCTTATTTATTTAGATTTTTTTGTTTGACTACATTAAATAACAGGTGTTACTTTAAAAATGCACACATCTAACAATATAATGAAAGCATTCGACTGATTTCCTAACTTTTTATGCTCATTTAAGACGAAATTAGTTGTGTTTGAAAAAAACAAAACACCAAGATCGACATCTTTAGATATTATTATTATTAATTATGTGTATATATCTGATCAAAAACGCACCTAAAAGCCAGACTTTCGCTCCGCTTCAATTCGCGTGTACAGAATCTGTTTGGGGAAGCAGCCTCTATTTACCACTATGGAGTGCGTCAGCTGACAGTAATGCACCATTATATGACTGTTTTGAGGATTGCATAGGAGGGGTGACGGCACCTGTTATGAAAAGGAAAGGGAATTGCGCCGTTTTTATATTTATTTCAAAGTGTTTTCGTGCCTAATTAAGCGAAAGCACAGAACAGATTGCATTTAAGAGCAATGGATGGCCTCTATTGGTTTGGCGGTATGGGTTGCATATAGGGAGGCTCAGCTCTTTAATGTTTTATGCCACCCTTTAGAAAAACACTGAAAATACGGAACAAATATAGGAAAATACCTTTATGGGATGATAGTGAGATAGAACTGTAAAATACGGGGGAATCTCGGGAAAAACAGGAGGGTTGACAGGTGTGGACATAAGGTAATAATGAAGAAAACCTATTCAAAAATAAAAGACTGGCATCACATTTATTCAAGCTGATTCTGTTTACAGCACTTGTCAATCTGGAATATGGACATGTACAAAAAATAAATGTCCAGGAACCTGCACTATATATGGAAGCGGACATTATAAAACTTTCGACAATCAAAGGTTTGGATTCCAAGGATCCTGCAGTTATATAGCAGCTCAGGTACCACCAGACAAGCAGTTTTATTGTTACATTGTATGTGCCTCTTTATTTCGGCTGTGCATCCCAATGGGGCGTTCACACCAGATGCGGCTTTGCGCAAATATATCGTGATATTCACGCATAATTAGACACTTGAAAAAATGTGGGTTGATTGAGAACATTTCTTATATAATAACTAGTTAATTCTCACTCCAGAGCTTTTCTTTTTCTGTGTATTGTTATTCATTTATTATTTTATTGTCTTTATTTTACTATTATTATTATTTGTAATTTATTTATGTATTTTCAATTAATGCAAACCCTGGCTTGTATATAGTTGTTGCTAGCTATGTATCCTGGCTTTGTTCTGCAATAAATAAATAATCATAAAGAAAAAGAAAAAAAAAGAAAAAAATGTGGGTTTACTTGCTTCATTTGCACGGGAAATTCACTTCACAACAGATGCCGATTCGTGTCACAGGCGGAAAATCTGTCTGCCTGGTGACTTCAGTTTCATTGCTACAGTAAATGGCTGACATGGATCTTATTAAGAGGGTAGCTCTTTGTGTTTTAGGAAGGCTGAAAAATGACACAGATTCATTCAATGCAATGTCTGGGTCCATCATACGCTTCAGAGTCTTAGCCAGCTCTGTGAAGTCATAAACTCCTCCAGAAGCTGTGTCACAATGATGGACGCTTATAGTGGTACTTATAACCAGGCTGGTCCCAGTTTGATGAGCTATTGTCCCATGTCGGCAGGAGGATTTCCCCCTCTGGACACCAACAACAGGCATTTCGTCATAACCATGCCCCTACTAGAACAAGCTTCTGATTGCTTAAGGTGGTGCGAATGTACCCCAAAGTTCCGATTTTTCAACTCAAGTGATTCACACACGTTAAATGCGCTCCCAAAATGCGCCGTGCAATTAGACATCTTCTGGTGCTATTTTGTGCAAATAACGCGGCCGACTTAATCATGACTTAACATGTAAATCACTCAAGTTTAACACTTCATCTACGTCTGGTGGTAACGTACCATAAGACATGCTACCTTTGGAGGCACTAGATTTAGTACAGTAATGTTTGTTTACCAATATATCACCATTTAGATGACAGCACATATATATTTATATTTAATTGCTGCTGTTTGTAATGTAACATCTGGTTTTTAAGGATATGTGTGGAAATAGGACAGGAATATTTCAAGTAATAACTGAAAATATTCCTTGTGGAAGAACAGGGACCACATGCTCAAAGTCTGTCTTTATTCAATTTGGGGTAAGTTTTGGTCAATGTATGATAGCAGAACAAATCTGAATAGAGTGCAAAATTTATAATCAGATCATCCTGAATATTTTGTTTGATCTTACAGAGAGTATCCCTACACCTTTCAGATGAGCTTGAAACACAATATTTAATGGAAAGTGGTGCACTAATTAGAAAAATTGGAATGTACCTTGTCATTGATACTAACATTGGGCTGACAGTTTTGTGGGACCGCAAAACCACCATTCACATCATTCTGCAACCTGAGTACATGGTGAGTTGACAATACTGCATATCCACGTTCATTTTGCCACACAATGGAATGTCTTTAAAATGGCCAGAATTAAATTAAGTAATTACAGTAAGCTACATGGCAGTTCATTCTGCTGTGGTGACCTCTGATAAATCAAGGACCAAGCCAAAGGAAGGTGAGTGAGAGAGGGCCCATAGGCTACATCAAGCCTGCACATAGTCAAATGCAGACACAGATCAATCCAACAGTTGCAGTGGTTCTCAATTCCAGCACATATTTTGCTTGTTTCTCCTGTAACACACCTGATTAAGATAACCAGCTCAGTAGGTGACAGCTCTATTCATGAACTCTGTTTCGATTGACAAGGTACCGTTTGTTCCTCCTCAGCATGGGAAATCTTTACTTTGACTTGGAACATTCAGATTTGTGCTTTGCTACAGACTAGGGCAGGGATGTCAAACTCAATTCCTGGAGGGCCGCAGCCCTGCAGTTTAGTTCCAACTCTAATTAAACACACCTGATCATACTAATTGAGTCGTTTGTTTGAAACCTACAGGTAAGTGTGTTGGAGCAAGGTTGGAACTAAACTGTGCAGGGCTGCCGCCCTCCAGGAATTGAGTTTGACATCCCCGGACTAGGGTGTCTTTAACTCAGACTAAACCTACTAGAGAAGTATGAAATCATTAACCTCTGTAAAATAAATTATTTAAATTTACATATTGCACACTAAAATGTTTGATTGAAACAAATGCTCCCTCCTTAGTCCACTTTGCAGGATGCTTGATGTCGAATTGGTACAGATACTAGCTTTGCCTTCTCTGGCAGACCGTTATCCATAATAGCCACTGCTCTGTGCTGTATTTTTCCTATCCAGGTTTTATTGCATTATGCTTTTGCTGCTGTCATATGATAAATCAATAGCAATTCTGAGGTGAATTTGAATAACACCATGCGCATTGCTTATGTTAATGGGTGTATAATATGTGAAAATGAAATTTAAAAGGCGAAATAAAATAAAACCATATGTCTATAAAAATATTAATATTGACTAATAAGCAACGACTTATACCAACAAACTGGTCTAGCTCAGAGTAGTAATGAGTCCTTTTTTCTTCTTCCAGTTATTACGAAAGAGAACTTAATTTTGGTGATTTAACTCCAGAGATACATCCACTGCTTAGTTTCATTAAAGTGAGCTACATTAATGTAACCTTTGTATTTTCACAGGGAGAAGTATGCGGCCTATGTGGAAATTTTAACGGAGATGGAAAAGACGACTTCACCACTAAAGGTGGTGTGCAAACTTCAAATGTAATTGAGTTTGTTGACAGCTGGAAGCAGAAAACCTCCTGCCCTGATGCTGCACCAGACTTTGACCCATGCGTTAAGAACCTTTATAGAGAGGAATGGGCAGTATTAAAATGTAGCATCATAACGAGTGATACATTCAAAGACTGCCAAAAAAAGGTACGGATCGAAACCCTTTTGCATCTATAAATGAATTTTCAAATAGTTTTCTAAACAGTGAACCAAGTTACAGCATGTATAAAAAGTATTGATATGTACTGTTTTGTCAGTATTCTCAACATTTTTCTCATATTTTGAAAGATGCTGTTGACTTGAACAGATACTAGTAGCAACCAAGCTAAGCCACACATGCTGTACAAAGGAAACAATACTAATTAGTTTAAAAATCAAGTTGTGCAATAAAATGGAAAGATACAGTATTGAACACATAAAGAAAATATATAAGAGAAGGCTTAAAAAGCCCAGACAGCAGCTGTGAAATCTCTCAGTAGTTATTCAGCAACCCTGCCTCTCCTCAGTGTAATTTAATATTAGCTAGTATTAATATTCACTACCAATACCTCATTGCTTGGATGATGAAAACCAGGGTGGACATTTCAGCAAGACAATGATCCCAAACACAGAAAAGGAACCTCTCAATTGGTTTTAAAAAAACTGCTAAAATGTCCTGACTTGAATTCAGTAGAAAATAAAATCAGACCAAAGATCACAGAAGCGAAACACAAAACCAGCAAGATTTGATAACTGTTGAAGTCTGGAAAAAAAATCACACCTGGGCAATGCATGTAACATTCTCTCTATCATCTCTATACAAGATGCCCTTGAGGCTGTCATTACCAAAACAGCCTTTTATACAAAGTATTAAATATATTTTAGTAGTTCATTACCTTTTCCCTGCTGTCATATCATTGTTATTACATTTAACAAAATTTTCAGATTGTTATAATAATTTTTTTATTTGTAGGCTCCATGTCACAACTTCTTTAGAAATATATTTACCAGAAATCAATACTTATTTTACCTGCTATACATGTTTCTACAGGTGGATCCAACACCGTATTATGACAACTGTTTGAAGGACACGTGTGCATGTGACACTGGAGGAGATTGTGAGTGCTTGTGTACGGCTGTGGCTGCTTACGCTCAAGCCTGCAATGAGGCTGATGTTTGTGTGAACTGGAGAACACCTGATTTCTGTCGTAAGCGTCTTTAATATCATTACAGATTATACATTTATAATAGCTGAATGGGTATTTTATGCAGATTCTAAATATTTAATCGTTGCTGCTTCACAGAAAATATAATGAAAGCAAGTTAAATAATTGTCAAATAACATGATGCAAGTATGATTAATGCTTGATTTGCTTTTGTTTATGCTGCAGTTATTGCATTTATACATGCTCATACATTTGTATTTTTTCCCTGTCAGCTGTTTACTGTGACTACTATAATAAACCAGATGAATGTACGTGGCATTACAGTCCTTGTCATCCACCTTGCTACAAAACCTGTCTCAACCCTAGTGGTATCTGCAATAACACTTTACCCAACCTGGAAGGTAAGCCCAATGACCAATGTGGCATGTTGGTTCAACTTTGATTATCATTAATCATTTTAATCAATATAAAAAAACAACAACATTCATTTGCTACTATAACAATAAAGCCCTCGCAATTGCAGGGCACCAGATCAACTCAATGTTGTGACTGAATTTTTTTAGAGGTCCCACTGGTGCGACTGCAAAATTGACATATAATTATATTTAAAATGAATGTGCAGAAGATTATATTAACAGCTCATCCAATAACTCTCCGCTTTTCCTCGAAGACATACTATCATCCTCTTGGGTACAAACAATTACTCATGTTATCAAATCTATGCCATATCTATTCTGCTATGATGATCACTTGTACCAGTGCTTTCAGTCGGAATGTGTACAGGAGCCTGTTTGCTGCATATTATTCCAGTCAGTTTGAGTTTCATTATTTCTTATGCACTTTATTTATCTTTTCTCTACTAGATTTATCTCTATATATTTATCTCTATTACTCTATTTATCATATCTTTACTTTTATGTAAAGTGTTGCACTTAATCAAGCAACAGCATGAATTGATGGGCATTCACATATAGCCTGCTTCTGTAATATATAAGTATAAAACAGGTTTTATTGAGCTTTTGGTGGCTGTGTGATCATCTCAAAACTACCAGACGGTCATTGGGCTGCGTCCGTCCATTGGTCAGCGTCAGTTTTGTTATCTAGATTGGTTTGTTTCACACGTCGCCTCTCATCTAGTTAAATGTCAGACTGCGTTGGCTCAATTCAGTGTGTCGAATTGGTGTTGGGTCGTCAGCTGAAGAGAGTGAAGGGTTAGATATTTATTGAGTGTGACGTAGTTAAGTGACATAGCGAGTAAACAAACCAAGCCAAGAAGAAACACAAAGTGTCCGGCTGTAATTTTGTTACATTTCTTAAATATTTGCAAATTATCAAACATATTTTTTATACTTTGCACGCATGTGTTAGGAGTTACAGTTTCCTAATGTGATGAGAAAACCGATTACTCCCCTTGCAGTGCAAAAAGACAAATCCTGCTATGCAGGTGCAGAAAGTTTACTGTTGTTTCGGTTAGCTGCTGTCCATTTTGTGTGTTCACGGGCAGCTTTTTGGTCTAGACGAGACCACATACGAGAAAAAGCAAAGCAACAGCACAGTTGTGTTTTGTCGATGCTAGTTGTTTGGCATTGATTTGGTGTGTATCAGCGCTTAAAGTTACTCTACTATGGCTAGTTAGTCTGACTGTTCATGTCAGAAAAATTTCCTATTTTTTAAATTGTAAATTAAATTTATATTGTTTAAATAAACTGTAAAAATATTGTTCTCAATTTTTTTCTTACCTGGACCTATGTGGTACACAACAACTGCTTCATTGTCTTCTTATGTATACTTAATGTACAGTATATTACATGTGTAGAACACTTTCTTTTGTGATTGCTAAGGTTAGTAGAAAGTTGCTGAAATGTTTTAACTATTTGATTTTTTTCAGGATGTTTTCTGACGTGTCCAGATGACAAACCATTTTATGATGATGAAAACCAAGTCTGTGTAAAGGACTGTTATATAAGTACAACTATTTCAACATTGACAACCACCTACACAAGTCCACTTCCTACATCTAGTCTTATGCCATCTACAACATCAGAAATACCATTTACAACTAGTATAACTCCTAGTACTAGATCCAATTCAACATTTTCCACCATATCAGTTACTACAACCCCCCAGAATCCATCTACAACATCAGAAACACTATCTAGAACTAGTACAACTCCTGGCACAACTACTTCCATATTTACAACCACTCATAGTACTACAACTCCTCTGACACCATCTACAACATCAGAAAAACTATCTACAACTAGTACAACTCCTGGCACAACTACTTCAACATTTACAACCACTTCTAGTACTACAACTATTGTGACACCATCTACAACATCAAACTTACTATCTACATCTAGTACAACTCCTGGCATAACACCTACTTCAACATATACAACCATTCATAATACCACAACTTATGTGACACCATCTACAACATCAGAAACACGATATACAACTAGTACAACTCCTGGTACAACTAGTTTAACATTTACAACCACCCCAACTTCTAAAACTCTTCTGACTCCATCTACAACAATAGAAATACCATCTACAATACACACAACTTCTGTTGTCAGACCTACTTTAACATTTACAACTACTTCAAGTACTACAAGTGCTCTGACATCATCTTCAACATCAGAAATACTATCTACAACCAGTACAACTCCTGGCACAAAACCTACTTCAACATTTACAACCCCTTCTAGTACTACACATCCACCTCCGCCTTATACAACATCAGAATTTCCATCTACAAGTAGTTCAACATTTATAACTACTTCTAGTACTACACCTACTCTGATGCCATTTACAACATCAGAAATACTATCGACAACTAGTATAACTCCTGGCACAACTAGTTCCATATTTACAACAACTTATAGTACTACAACTCCTTTCACGCTATCTACAACTAGTACAACTACTGGCAAAACTAGTTCAACATATACAACCACTTCTAGTACTACAACTCCTCTGATGCCATCTACAACATCAGAAGTACCATCCACAACTAGTACAACTTCTGGTATAACACCTACTTCAACATATACAACCACTTCTAGTACTACAGCAACTCTGATGCCATCTACAACATCGGAAACACCGTCCACAGCTAGTAAAACTCCTGGCACAACTAGTTCATCAACATTTACTACCCCTTCTAAATCTACAACTCTTTTGATGTCATCTACAACATCAGGAATACCATCTACAACTAGTACAACTCCTGGCACAACTAGTTCCATACTTACAACAACTTATAGTACTAGAACTCCTTTGACGCTATCTACTGCAAGTTCAACTACTGGCAAAACTAGTTCCTTATTTACAACCACTCATAGTAATACAACTCCTTTGATACCATCTACAACATCAGAAATACCACCCACAACAAGTACAACTCCTGGCACAACTAGTTCCATATTTACAACTACTTATGGCACTATAACTCCTCTGACACCATCTACAACATCAGAAAAACCATCTACAACTAGTACAACTCCTGGCACAACTAGTTCATTAACATTTACAACCACTTCTACAACTACAACTCCTTTGATGTCATCATCAACATCAGAATTCCCATCTACAACTAGTACAACTCCTGGCACAACTAGTTCAACATATACAACCACTCATAGCACTACAACTCCTTTGACACCATCTACAACATCAGAAATACCATCTACAACTAGTACAACTCCTGGCACAACTAGTTCCATATTTACAACCACTCATAATACTACAACTCCTCTGACACCATCTACAACATCAGAAATACCATTTACAACTAGTACAACTACTGGCAAATCCAGTTCAACATATACAACCACTTTTAGTACTACAACTCCTCTGATGTCATCAACAAATTCAGAATTACCATCTACAACTAGTACAACATCTGGCACAACTAATTCCATATTTACAACAACTAATAGTACTACAACTCCTCTGATGCCATATACAACATCAGAAATACCATCCACATCTAGTACAACTTCTGGTATAACACCTTCTTCAATAAATACAACCACTTCTAGTACTACAACCACTCTGATGTCATCTACAACGTCAGAAACACCACCCACAACTAGTAAAACTCTTGCCACAACTAGTTCATCAACATTTACAACCCCTTCTACAACTACAACTCATTTGACACAATCTACAACATCAGAAATCCCATCTACAACTAGCTCAACTCCTGGCACAACTAGTTCCATACTTACAACAACTTATGGTACTACAACTCCTTTGACGCTATCTACAACTAGTACAATTACTGGCAAAACTAGTTCAACATATACAACCACTTCTAGTACTACAACTCATCTGATGCCATCTACATCAGAAATACCATCTACAACTAGTACAACTCCTAGCATGACTACTTTAACATTTACAACAACTTCTAGAACTACAACTGACCTGACACCATCAACAACATCTAAAATACCATCCACTACTAGTTCAACTCCTGGAACAGCAACTTCAACATTTACTACCACATCCATTACTGCTACTCCTCTGATGTCATCTACAACATCGGAAACACCAATCACAACTAGTAAAACTCCTGGCACAACTAGTCCATCAACATCCCCTTCTACAACTACAACTCCTGTGATGTCATCAACAACTGCAAAATTACTATCTACAACCAGTACAACTACTGGCACAGCTAGTTCCATATTTACAACCACGTCAAGTACAAAAACTCATCTGACACCATCTACAACATCAGAAATACAATCTACAACTAGTACGACTCCTGGTACAACTAGTTTAACATATACAACCACTTATAGCACTACAACTCCACTGACACCATCTACAACAAGTACAACTTCTGGCACAACTAGTTCCATATTTACAACCCCTTCTACAACTACAACTCCATTGACACTATCTACAACTAGTACAACTACTGGCAAAACTAGTTCCTTGTTTACAACCACTCGCAGTACTACAACTCCTCTGATGCCATCTACAACATCAAAAATCCTATCTACAACTAGTACAACTCCTGGAACAACTACTTCAACATTTACAACAACCTTTAGAACTACAACTCATCTGACACCATCAACAACATCTAAAATACCATCTAAAACTAGTACAACTCTTGGTACACCAACTTCAACATTTACTACCACATTTATTACTACTACTCCACTGATACCATCTACAACATCGGAAATGTCATCTACAACTTCTAGCCGTACAGCTACTTCCAAATCTACTCTAACTGTTGTTACTGGAAACACCAAATCTACCACTTATGCATCTGCAAAACCTCAAATTGACAATACCACAACCTCACTATTTACATCTACAACTTCACCTGTGTCTACAGAAATAACTTCTTCAAATAGTACAACTTCTGGCACAACACCTACTTCAACATTTACCCCCACCTCCACTTCTACTACTCCTATGACGCTATCTACAACATCAGAAATAGCATCTACAACTAGTACAATTCTTGGCACAACTAGTTCATCAACATTTACAGCCCCTTCTACAACTACAACTCCTTTGACATCTTCAACAACATCAGAAATCCCATCTACAACTAGTACAACTCCTGGCACAACTAGTCCATCAACAACTGCTTCTACAACTACAACTGCTTTGACATCATCTACAACATCAGAATACCCATCAACAACTAGTACAACTTCTGGCACAACTAGTTCAACATATTCAACCACTAATAGCACTACAACTCCTCTGACACTATCTACAACATCAGGAATACCATCTACAACTAGTATAACTCCTGGCACAACTAGTTCCATATTTACAACAACTTATAGTACAAAAACTCATCTGACACCATCTACAACATCAGAAATACAATCTACAACTAGTACAACTCCTGGTACAACTAGTTCAACATACACAACCTCTTATAGCATTACAACTCCTCTGACACCATCTACAACATCAGAAATACCATCTACAACTAGTACAACTTCTGGCACAACTAGTACCATATTTACAACCACTCATAGCACTACAACTCCTCTGACACCATCTACAACATCAGAAATAGCATCCACAACTAGTAAAACTCCTGGCACAACTAGTTCATCAACATTTACAGCCCCTTCTACAACTACAACTCCTTTGACATCTTCAACAACATCAGAAATCCCATCTACAACTAGTACAACTCCTGGCACAACTAGTCCATCAACAACTGCTTCTACAACTACAACTGCTTTGACATCATCTACAACATCAGAATACCCATCAACAACTAGTACAACTTCTGGCACAACTAGTTCAACGAATTCAACCACTAATAGCACTACAACTCCTCTGACACTATCTACAACATCAGGAATACCATCTACAACTAGTATAACTCCTGGCACAACTAGTTCCATATTTACAACAACTTATAGTACAAAAACTCATCTGACACCATCTACAACATCAGAAATACAATCTACAACTAGTACAACTCCTGGTACAACTAGTTCAACATACACAACCTCTTATAGCATTACAACTCCTCTGACACCATCTACAACATCAGAAATACCATCTACAACTAGTACAACTTCTGGCACAACTAGTACCATATTTACAACCACTCATAGCACTACAACTCCTCTGACACCATCTACAACATCAGAAATAGCATCCACAACTAGTAAAACTCCTGGCACAACTAGTTCATCAACATTTACAGCCCCTTCTACAACTACAACTCCTTTGACATCTTCAACAACATCAGAAATCCCATCTACAACTAGTACAACTCCTGGCACAACTAGTCCATCAACAACTGCTTCTACAACTACAACTGCTTTGACATCATCTACAACATCAGAATACCCATCAACAACTAGTACAACTTCTGGCACAACTAGTTCAACATATTCAACCACTAATAGCACTACAACTCCTCTGACACTATCTACAACATCAGGAATACCATCTACAACTAGTATAACTCCTGGCACAACTAGTTCCATATTTACAACCACGTCAAGTACAAAAAGTCATCTGACACCATCTACAACCTCAGAAATACAATCTACAACTAGTACAACTCCTGGTACAACTAGTTCAACATATACAACCACTTATAGCACTACAACTCCTCTGACACCATCTACAACATCAGAAAAAACATCTACAACTAGTACAACTCCTGGCACAACTAGTTCAACATACACAACCTCTTATAGCATTACAACTCCTTTGACGCTATCTACAACTAGTACAACTACTGGTAAAACTAGTTCAACATATACAACCACTTCTATTACTACAACTCCTCTGATGCCATCTACAACATCAGAAAAACCATCTACAACTAGTACAACTCCTGGCACAACTAGTTCAACATACACAACCTCTTATAGCATTACAACTCCTCTGACACCATCTACAACATCAGAAATACCATCTACAACTAGTACAACTTCTGGCACAACTAGTACCATATTTACAACCACTCATAGCACTACAACTCCTCTGACACCATCTACAACATCAGAAATAGCATCCACAACTAGTAAAACTCCTGGCACAACTAGTTCATCAACATTTACAGCCCCTTCTACAACTACAACTCCTTTGACATCTTCAACAACATCAGAAATCCCATCTACAACTAGTACAACTCCTGGCACAACTAGTCCATCAACAACTGCTTCTACAACTACAACTGCTTTGACATCATCTACAACATCAGAATACCCATCAACAACTAGTACAACTTCTGGCACAACTAGTTCAACATATTCAACCACTAATAGCACTACAACTCCTCTGACACTATCTACAACATCAGGAATACCATCTACAACTAGTATAACTCCTGGCACAACTAGTTCCATATTTACAACAACTTATAGTACAAAAACTCATCTGACACCATCTACAACATCAGAAATACAATCTACAACTAGTACAACTCCTGGTACAACTAGTTCAACATATACAACCACTTATAGCACTATAACTCCTCTGATGCCATCTACAACATCAGAAATCTTATCTACAACTAGTACAACTCCTGGCACAACTACTTCAACTTTTAGAACTACAACTCATCTGACACCATCAACAACATCTAAAATACCATCTAAATCTAGTACAACTCTTGGAACACCAACTTCAACATTTACTACCACATTCATTACTACTACTCCACTGACACCATCTACAACATCGGAAATGTCATCTACAACTTCTAGCCGTACAGCTACTTCCAAATCTACTCTAACTGTTGTTACTGGAAACACCAAATCTACCACTTATGCATCTGCAAAACCTCAAATTGACAATACCACAACCTCACTATTTACATCTACAACTACACCTGTGTCTACAGAAATAACTTCTTCAAATAGTACAACTTCTGGCACAACACCTACTTCAACATTTACCCCCACCTCCACTTCTACAACTCCTATGACGCTATCTACAACATCAGAAATAGCAACTACAACTATTACAACTCCTGGTACAACACCTACTTCCAGAGCCACAACCACTAGATCTCCTATAACTACACTACTTACAACAACACCTTTTATACCTCCAACACCACCACAACCAAACCCATGTTATGAATGTATAAACATAAATGGAAGTTTCATCCCTGTTCAACGGGATTGTCTTCCACCGCAAAACATCACCTGTGAAAATCACCAGCCAAGCGTGCTGCTAGAGGATAAGCACGAATGCTGCCCTTATTACGTCTGTGATTGTAAGTATGCTGTACTTCTCAAGCACTACATTTTAGAATTTAATCAGTGTAATGATATCTATGCTGATGTCCTCATTTCTGCTGTACACTTAGAAGAATGAATACAGTAGCAGAACCTATTACTCTACATGCTGTTCCAAATATTTATAAAGGACATAATAAAGACAGAGATATCTGAAAGTGTCTGTCTCTTTGAATCCATCGGTCACAGTGGATTAGATCCTAAAATTTTATTCAAATGTAATTGGCAAAAAAAAAAAAAAAGTAATCTATACTCCAGTAAATTAAAACAAAAAGGTCTTCTGGAGCAATAAAATGGTAAAACAAAATGGTATTATGTTTTTCTGAACATCAGCATATTGTAAAGTTTTTTCAAAATATATTTTATGTTCATCTGAAATAAACTATAAATAATAGTAATACTTACTAAGAAAATCATTTCATAAATTAAAAGGCTATTTACCATATTTGTAGTTATTCTAACCAATATGCATTGACCTAAAGACAAACATTTTTTTTTACAAATTAATATTAAAAATCTATACAGAGAATATGGATATGTTAAAATGTCTGTCTAATGACAACTGGAATAATTTTTAACAATAAATGTTCTAATAAATTTTTGTGCTTGGTTCCTAACCTATACACACTCTACTATTCATAGGCTTTTGCCAAGGCTGGGGTGACTCCCATTACATCACATTTGATGGACTCTATTACAATTACCAAGGAAACTGCACTTATATTTTAATGAAGGAAATTAGCCCTCAATTCAATTTAGCAATCTACATTGAGAATGTCTACTGTGACCCTGCTGAGAATGTATCCTGTCCCAGATCCCTTATTGTGTCTTACAACAAACAAAACATTACACTTAGAAGTCACAGGCTAATGGGAGGAGCAAATCTAGAGGTGAGATTACTGTATAGCAGGACTGAACAAAGATTTTGTAGTGTTTTCCCTTCATTGTTTTGTAAATTTGTTTGCTTTCTTTGTGCTTGTCTGTTTTTTTAAGGCTCTAGAGGGAAATATTATGCTAGCACTGCCGTATGATAATAATGGCCTGAGGGTTATTAGTTCAGACCTAAACTTATTACTAGAGATTCCAAAACTCAACGCCTATGTACTATTTGGAGTCTCTGGCTTCAGCATCAACCTGCCATTCCAGTATTTTGGAAAAAACACAGAAGGCCAATGTGGTAAGCAAACAAAAAAATATATTTTTTGAGTTGAAATAGTTTAAAAAGAGGTCATATCAGATAAAATATTTTGTCAATATTCCTAAAAAATAAAGCATGATGTTGAATAAAACAATATTTGAATGATAATTTGGTTGAAGTAAATGATCTTATTTAGTAACAATACTAATTATTCCAAATAATTCTTACTAAGGAACATGCAACAACAACCAGAATGATGATTGCCCTGGATCCTTGGCAAACGACTGTAAAATAATGGCAGAGAACTGGAATACTACAGTTTGCACTCCACCAGCTCCATTACCTACTCCTAACTCACCCCATGTCCACCCTGACTGCTACCTACTAAACACCACGTCAGTTCATTCTGTTGGTGTAATTAAATCAAATTCAACAAACTTTGCATCTTGAGAGTGAAATTTGCTTTTAGTAAACCTTCTTCATTGTGAATATTTTCAGGTTTGAAGCGTGCCACTCCCATGTGCCTCCTGAAAACTTCTTTTCAGCCTGTCAATATGACAGCAGTAATAACCCTGCTGAAGTGTGTGCCAGTCTGCAGAGCTACGCAAGCGTCTGTGCAATGTTTGGGGTCTGCATATACTGGAGGAACTACACAAGCCAATGCAGTAAGTTCATGAATGGAATAGATTTCATTTAGGTTATATAAAAATCAGTAAAGCAATTTACAAGTAAATATTCTGAAAGATACATTTCTTCCTCAGATATTGGTTGTTCAGAAGATAAAGTGTTCTTGCCTTGTGGTTCATTTGAACCGCCAACATGTAGAGATAGGTATGGCCTTTTTTCTTCAATAGTTGATATGGTTGTGGGAAATGTATATGGTAACACTTTATAAAACTAGTGGCATACTATTTGGCCAAGATATGTTTTTGCTTTTATTATTACTCCATTAAGATAGAATGTCTAGTCAAATATACATATGATTTATTTCCACCCAAAACATTGAGGTTCAGAATGATCTCACTGACATTTAATAGTTGTAAACAGAAATATAATCTTAGAAGAAAGTTAGAATTGGCCTCTCTGAAATAAAATATCCCCTGATTACATTATTAATGTGTTAATTGATGTATTGCAAGTAACACACTGTAAAACTTTGCTTACAGACAAATGGAGAGCAACATTACAGTGTCCACAGAAGGCTGCTTCTGTAGTCAGAACACAACACTCTTCACCAAGGATTCTGGAGTCTGTGTGCCACAACCCTGCGGTGAGAAGCCATAGTCTCTGTCATATTACAGTACATCTTTATATGGATAGAGAGATTGGTCTACATCTCAGATTAGAGTCTCACACTTGTTTACATGTATAACAGCAATGTATACATGTATAGCCATTGACTTGACTATTAATAAATTGACATTTCACTGCCCAGCTGAAATTTCCAGCTTTGCTGCTCACCAGCAGGTTTATTAAGTTTGCTGAGAGCAGAATGGGATGCTGGTTGATAGCTTGCTGGTCCCCAGTATGGCACACCAACTCAATTTTGCTCAAAGACAGCTGGTTTATTCATGCTGGTTTATGCTGGATTTTTCAGCAGGGTCGTGTTATGCATCTCGTTTTTCTGGGAAGGACTGTTCAGACTATAAATATAAGAATGAAACAGTATTTTTTCAGTGTCCTCTCAAATGCTAATGGTTTGGTCTTGAAGGGTTAGCATCCTACACAAGTTTCCCAGGAAAAGATGCACAGAAACTTGCACCTGCATTACACACATCCACATCTCATATCCTGTTTTAAGAATATACCTGTCTTTTCCTGTAGGATGCTTGGACTCATCTGGGAAACCACGTAGGGTACTGTATACAAGGATTAAAACTGTTCAATAGTCACTTCCTGCAGGAGCATCCCTGTGGCATGCAATTCATGTTTTGTTTGCTTTTACACTGCAGTTTAATGAGAATTTTACGCACAACTGTGAGGACTGTGTCTGTGATAAGGCCAGGATGTCAGTCATCTGTGAACCCAAGAAGTGTCCCGATGTGCCCCCTGTGAACTGCACTGAGCCCTTCATGGTGGTCAATGTCACCGATCCATCAGAGCCATGCTGCAGCAGACAAGTTTGCAGTAAGAGGAGTTTGTTTCTTTTTAAAACTGGGTTTGCTTCAGAATTGCAGTGTTTTAAGACTAAAGCCTCCTCTCACTCTGTTTCATGATGTAGATTGTAGCATGTGCCCATTTTCGGAGGAAAAGTGTGAGGTTGGATATGAACTGATTGTGCACCCTTACGGAGACTTCTGTCCAGAAATCAGATGCGGTATCACTATCAGTCCTAAACACTTCCATCAGCTTGTCTTTTTGACATAATGTTTGTCTTTAATGTGTGTGTGTGTGTGTGTGTGTGTGTGTGTTGCTTCTTACAGAGTCAAAAGAAGTGTGTGCCTACAACAACACAGAATATAAGGTAACTAAACACACAGAATTGAAAAATAAACCTTTGTAAATTCTATTAACATTTGCTTTTCATGTTAGGGTGAACGTGGTCATTGTAGTCTAAGTGTGAGGAGACATCCGATCTGTCTCACTTCCGTTGACTTTTAGACACAAATAACTGCTTGTTATGCTGCTTGATCTTGCAAACTGGTATTTCCTCATGATTTTATTTATTTTTTCTTTGCATTGTCAGAAACACACTGGTTTGTAGACCAAGTAGTTTGACCATTAACAGCCATTTATTATTCCAAGGTATTTATCCCAGAGGTAAATGGCTGTTTACATGCATCAATTTTTGGCAATGCATATTAATTTAATTCAGTTACAGATTCGTTTATCTTACACTCTAAAAATTTAGATCTGATTCATCTATTTGTTCAAATGTGTTTTATATGAATTCTGGTCAACTTTTGCATTGCGTTTCAACATAGATTTGTTTTTGTTTTTTTAAAACAGGCTATAAAGTCTGAAAATAGAATTAATTGTTTTATTTCCTGGTTTGGGCACCCCTGGTTTACATGGTAATTTTTTTGTCAATGCATCAGATAAAAAAAAAAAAAGTTATATTTTTTAATATAAGTTATAAGAAATAAGTTATAAGAAAGTAATAATACTACTTTCAATCCAGTTGTAGAAATCGCTTACTTTGGCTTCGCAAAAAAGGGTGAAAACATTGAAAATAGCTTCTTATGGTTTCACTTTGTTGCCCTTTTTCCTCTTTCTAGCCTGGGAGTAAAATCCACGTAGGGCCTTGTGTTAAATGTAACTGTGAATGGGACCCATGGACTGAACTATATCAAATGAATTGTTCCTATGAAGTTTGCCCTGATGATGAGTGTTATGAGGTAATACCTACAGCTTAAGCTTGTGGTCAGTTTGCATTAGTGCTGCTCTCCGATTTGAAAATAAAGCGCAGAGTTCCTACTGCTCTATAATAATCATTTTCTCTCTGTAGGGGTTTGAATATGTGAAACAAGATGGAGAGTGCTGTGGAACATGTAAACTAATGAGCTGCATTTATTATAGAGAGAACAACACTAAACACATTCTTCATGTACGTCTGACTACATTCTTAAACTTGGTCTGTTGTTAATTTAATCATACGTCAAAGTCTTAACATACTCGGTCTGTCTTTTGTTAGGATGGAGATGTCAAGAATTTTACATGTGAAACTGTTTCCTGTCATGAAATAAATGGCTCATTTTTGATTGAAAAAACCAAAACAGTGTGTTCGTACTCGAGTGTGCACGTCTGCGAGTATGTAAGTAAGATCTCTATACACACCACACACACTGTATTTTGGCTGTTGCTTTTTTCAGGGTTTTTTTTTCCATTTATTGAGTATGTTTGCAAAATGAAGCACCCAGTCACTTCACATCACATTCAGTATTCAGTTTTATTCCAAAATATTAAATAAAATCACCCTGGTGTTGTTAAATTTTCCTATACAACAAATGGAACAATTTGGAAAAAATGTCCTGCTTTTGCTCATCCAGGAACAGACAATCAACTTATATATATATATATATATATATATATATATATATATATATATATATATATATATATATATATATATATATATATATATATATATATCTCAGAATGGTCCCATGAAGTGTTCTGGGGTTATTCAGTAAGTTCACATGAAATACAACTTAAAATTCTGACTTTGGTCATCTTTGTGCACATTACATGTATGAATTCTGTTAGCTCCAACCTGCCAATGCAAACTACTACACAAATGCACCATTTGATAAGATGACAGAAAGTTCTAAAAATAAAAAAACTAATAAAAAGATTAAGCATAAAACATAATGCTTAGAAATATCAAGTTTAATATTTCCAGACTGGAACTGTTGCCAAATGACAATGACAACTGACATATTTTTTTAAGGATGACTTATTTTACTATCCCCATAGATCATTTCAAAATACAGTATATAGTAAATAAAGTATTAGTGACATCAAGTACTTGGGATTAACATCAAGCCACTTGGGTTTACCATTTTTAGATTTTCTAACATTTCTTGGATCTTGCTTTAAAATGTGAGTTGAGTCAACTGTAAAGTTCTTTGAAAGTAAAAAAACATACCCTCTGTAGCATCTACTTCTGCTGAAATATTAAAACTACAGTACACTATAAACTCTTTTTTTTCACTTCAAGGGGTTTGAATATGTGATGAAAGAAGGCGAGTGCTGTGGAACATGTGAACCAGTGGCCTGTATTTATCAATCACCAAACAACACCATACATATTCTCAAGGTACATTGGAAAGACAATTATCAGACATAAAAATATGGTTCTGAATTAACCCTCACACATGTCTGTCATTTCGTTTAGGATGGACAAGAGTTTAAGTATAAATGTGAAACTGTTACCTGCAATCATATTAATGACTCATTTGAGATGAACATAACCAACATGGAATGTATTCAATTGAGTTCAGAGGACTGTGCGTCTGTAAGTAAAACCTCTAGCTTCAATTCAGTAGTGTAGTAATGAATTAGAAACTGAGCATACTGTAAATTTAACATCTTTTTCTTCTTCAAAAAAAATCTACATGTATTTAATTTTGAAAGTACAAATATTAACGTTGGTCATTTTTTTAATTAATGGCACTTAAAAAGTATGAAAGAAAATACATATTTTTCATGTTAAAGTGATCTTAATATGTCCTGCTGGTAGTGCTTAAGCATGCTCAAAATCCCTTAAATAGCAGGTGGTCATATGACATTTACCTGCATAAAAACTACAACAAAACAACATTATCTTCTCAGTAGCTTTTCAGCATCCTCTTGATTATTAAAATTAAAACTAATTATTCCACAGGGCTTTCAATATATGAAAAAAGATGGAGAGTGCTGTGGGTCGTGTGTACAAGTGGCCTGTATTTATGATGCTCCAGACAAAACCACACATGTTCTCCAGGTACATTTGGAAACATTTACAAATGTTCCTCAGAAAAAGAATCTGCTCTGTTCTTTAATTTTCATGCAGTCAGTCTTTTTTTTTGTTTTGTTTAGGAAGGACTTTCATACAATATATCATGCATGAATGTCACATGTCTGAAAAGGAATGACGTGTTCACGATAAAGGAAGAAATGAAAAAATGCCCTTCCTTTAATCAAGATGACTGTGTGGAGGTAAGTAGAACCCAGCACACATTAACACCTTTTTTCTTGTATTCTGCTACTGCTTCAGCTCTTTTTAATACTATTTGTTATTTTATATACAGAATTCATAAGTATATCACGAATACCACTCATATTTTTGTAATATCTGTAATATTTCAGTGAACATAACATTATATAGCATATGTGCTCTTGTGTGCTTTTAAACAGAGTATACTTTGAAATGCTGTGTACAGTAATGTATGCATGAAATAATATAGTATACTTTGGGTTTTACAATCAGTAAAGTTTTTTCATATTTTTCTTCAGTTCACAACATTCAATGTTAATCAAACAGCCAAAGACATGCATATTTTACTCACCTTTATCAGCATTCGCTCATCTGGAAACTTAATTTTGGAAAAAGTGAACTAATTCAAACTATTGAAAATTAATAAATACTACAGTACTTTCTTAATCAGGGTATATGCAGGAATCCTAAAGGTAATTTCAATACATTTTAAAAGACTTTTTAAAGACCTTCTCAGAATACTTTAAGACCTCATCGCCACTTCAAGTTCTAATCAGTATTAAACTTTACCTTAATAAACGGTTGTTAGTAAACTGTTGTAGTTAAATCAATGGAGCACAACCGTGCAACAGAACTCAGATAAGCTCGGAAGAAACTAAGCTTGAAAGAATAAATAACGTAATTGTTTTTAGCAAAAGGCTTTAGCCACTGTTTAAACTCATCTTTCTCCAACCAGGAGTACGCAAACTTAAATTTTCCCCTATTGCCGTCTGTTTCACTCAGTGGTTTTGCTACATGTGGAGAGCGTCACATCATCTTCCAGCATTTGTCGCAAATTACGTGACAACACCAGGACAGAGTAGATTGGCTGGACGTGCCCTGGCCCTAACCAATCGCGTGGATGGAGCATGCGGTGGTTAATATTAGGAGGAAAATAAATATATTTACACGTTTTTGGAGTCAAGTACTTTTGACAACGCTTGAACAAAATTTAAACCTTGTAAAATGTGATTAAGAATTGTTAATACCTTTTAAGGGCCTTAATTGTCTCATAATTAACTTTTAATTCTTTTTAAGACCCTGCAGACACCCTATAATGCAGTTAGATAATTCCATTGGTGGTAGAAAATATTATATACATATGTGTGTGTGTGTGTGTGTGTGTGTGTGTGTGTGTGTATATATATATATATATATATATATATATATAATAAGGATTGAATTAAAAAAGGTTTGCAAAAATCGGTTCTGTTCAGATATCTGTGACAATAAACACCATTTTTTACTAAACAATTCTTTCTGCAAATTGGATTTTCGCAGGGAACAAAGCAATTTGATGAGGATGGATGTTGCCCAAACTGTAAGATATTTGTGTCCTTATATAAATCAATCTTAAGACTAAGAATAACAATTTTACTATGAAATCTTTATAGAGTCAAAGGCTTACCTGTCTCTGTTTTCTCTCAGGTGAAACTCGTAACTGTGCTCCTGTGAAGAACGTCACTCGTCTGAAAGTCAATAATTGCACTTCAACTGAAGATGTTGAAATTACATCCTGCGCTGGTCACTGTGACTCCAAATCAACGTAAGAGTGCTGCACCCCTGTAAATCACAAAAATACTCTGTTTTTTAGTTTGAAATATCAGAACTACAAAGTCTTAGTAACTGCAATGACAGGTTGTTGTTGTTTTTTAGGACAAATGGTTATCAAAATGGGCATTGTTTTGCATGCCAGGAAGGCTATTTTTATATCAAGATCAATCTTGCGTATTTTACTATCAGTCTAAATGCTGAATGAACAGAATTAAATGCATTAATTTGTTTTCTAGTCTGGATCTACATGGATACATGATGAACAGCTGTTCCTGCTGCCAAGCAGAGAGATCCAGCATTCGAGAGGTGACACTGATGTGTGAAGATGACTGGCAGAAATGGCTGAATATCCGGCATAACTACACATACATAGAGACATGCACATGCACTCCTGTCATGTGTGAAGACTATAATAACTTCAGAAAGGAAGATTATGATTGACACGATTATCCTGTGAACATGACACAATCTTAAGATGATTGCTGAATTAATGTGTTTAAAATATATTTTGGTAAATATTGCACCATTATTTTTTTTCTTTGTGATTTGATTTGGGGCATTGCATTTAATGCATAATACTGTATTTTCTTTCTTTCTAATGAAATAAAATAAAATCACAATAAGGCATAATAAAGAGCATCTGTTACTGTCCTCTGTTTTACTGTTTAGTGCCAGCCCTGTGAAAAAAAATGTAAACACCCAAAGATTTTGTTTTGACTTTTTCTTGAGTTGCCTTTACAACAGAATAAACTCAAAGTAATAACAAAATAATAAAAGTAATAACTAATTACCAAACCATTGATGTTAAAAAAAATGTTTTTGTAACTGAAATGTCCTTTGTACCAGTGTTATGTCCACACAACCAGTTCCATAGCAAAAGTTAATGTCTTTTGATACTTTCTGCTAATGTCACTGCAGGAAATTTCTTGAAAAGTTCGAAACACTGTAAATGTAGAAATAATTTAGTGATCTGTTCAAGCTGCTGTGTTAAATCGACCATTGAGAATCTCTTTATTATCCTGTCCTCTCATACATTTGTCTTTTGTGAAGGTCCAGCTGTTGATGGGACTTGAACGACATTGTAAAGATTTCTACAAATCAGATGTTTAAAGTGATCAAATTCTCTTTCTATGGCTGATAAATGTGATCCTTTTGGTCTTCATTTAGGTTTCAGTCATTTTAGAATGGCAGCAAAATCAGTTAAAATAACCACAATTACAGTTCATGTTCATAATTTACGTTCATGTCACATTCATTTTATCCAAATATACATTATAGATAATTATTAAGTAGTTAAATATGTGTGAACAATGACCTTTTAACACGTCAGCAACTGCAAAACGTATTGTAACCAGTAGCACTACTTTTTGTCTCGTATGCAGAACTATCCTCACAAGCGTGAACATTTCCAACAATCAAGTTAGAAAGAAAGACGGGAAAACAAAGTTGTTGTTGTTGTTTTGTAATTAAACTAATCAAACGAAATACAGTTTGCTCGGAACGAACGGGTAAAACTGATGATTGTTAATTTTGAGGTAACTTAGCCTACATTAAAGTTAGCATTCTGGAACCGTATATGATAAAACTACTTTTTTTGGAGGAAATTATAACATTTATTAGTCAGAGAGATATGTGAATTGCCTGCGTATGTCTCTGACAGTCTCGGTTAGTAAAGCCAATTTTTCAATTAAATTGTATTAAAAATGTAAATAAAAAGTAGCAGTGCAGCCTTGACCGTCACTCGTAGCCCCTGTCCTCAATATCGTCAGCGCAACAATACAGAACGATGTGTGAATAAACTGACTGGGACTAACTTATTGTGCGTTAGACAACGGTACTCCATCCACTCAAATTCAGTTCGTGTACATAATAGGTATTAATATTGCCTTACAAATGGCACCCATTTAAGGAGACAGCCATATGTACTGGTCTTCGAATATTTGCTATTTTTCGGTTGTTTTATTAAATCCTAAACGTGCCGCAATAACGATATGTTTCATCCTGTTGTCTGTGAAGATCGTGTTGAATGAGTTTCCGCGTCTCACCAAAAGATGGCGCCCGCAACTAAGTATTTCCTTCTTCTTCTAAACTGTTCTGAAAAGGGGGAAAACGGTAAAAACATATCTCAAACAGGTATAAAACACTTTTTACGTTATACATTTTACAATGACCATTAGATTGATTAGTAAAAGAGCTGCCAGTTTGCTTAGTTAAAATAGCAGATATAACGTTACACAAGTAGCAGAAATCACAGAGTAAATAAACGAAAACATCGTTATTGTAGTAAACAATATGTGTCGCAATGTGTCACAACAATAACATAGTTAAAAAGTGGTTTTGTGTTAAAACTGTGATAAGAACCACACGTCTATTAAATCCATGGTTCATTTTTGTAAGCGAGGCAATTCAAACACTTGTTGCCATTTATTTATTCAAGTGGACTCTTTTTTTTTCAAGTGGGCTATTTCAAAGTACATTTATTAGAAGTACAAGTTTAAATTCATTATGGATTACAGAGACAGTCATTCTTGATATTTTTGTAGATTCAAGAAATCAACAAGACTCACATATCAAAATCTCTTCCCAGAGATTTCCGTGCACAAAACACAATATTAAAATGTGTAATTATTGTGTGAATATTGAATGTCATACCATCAGTATTTCTGAAAGCCTCTTCTTCAGTTGTTTGAGGAAGATTTTTCCACTTTCCATCTTAAGGAGGTGAAGAATTCAAAAATGGAAAATCATAAATTGTGAGTGATTTCATTTAGCATCTGAAAACAATATATTTATAGCCTACTTGAAAATATGTATTCATGTTTCAAACAAAGTTGTTGAGCTTGTCTCATTTTATCACCTGCAGCCCCATCAGTACGATCCACATCAACATTCAGACAACATTCTTCTTCAGGAGGTAATGTGAGCTGCTTGTCTTTTTAAGTGCAGTGTAATCTGATCAGAAGGTGGTACCCATACCAGTATGCTCAATTATGGTATATCATCCTTGAGTCACGTCAACATTAATGTTCTAGCTGTGTTTGAGAATAAACAGGATTAGCAGATTTGGTGGGGGAGGAAAAAAAACTTTGGGCCACCAACAATTATCATTGCTATCATCTCAAACTAAACAAGGATGTGAGTTCTGATGGAACCGTGAAGGCAAACAGTGCAGTATGACGCACAGAGCCGGACTTTACATTCTTAATGCGGTACTGTGCTGTTTTAATAGGATAATTCAAATCCAAAAGGAAATTTGCTAATACTTGCATGTTTTCAAACATTTATGAGTCTTTTTCTTGTGTGTAATACAAATGAGGATATTTTGAAGAAAAACCATTGACTTCCACTGTGGGGAAAAAAATAACGACATCATAGTGTGATCTGGCAGTCATAGCACAGTGTTCATTCGGTCAAGGCACAGCTGAACAGATGTGTTTTAAGTCTTGATTTGAATGTACCTAATGTTAAAGCGCATCTAATCATTTCTGGAAGCTGATTCCAGCAGCAAGGGGCCTCGTAGCTGAAGGCAGATTCACCCTGCTTTGACTGAACTCTAGAAATTACTTGATCTTTATTTGATCCTAATGATGTTTATTTGATCCTAATGATCTGAGTGATCTGTTTGGTTTGTATTCAGTGAGCATATCTGTAATGTATTGGGGTACTTGGCCATTTAGAGATTTAAAGACAAGTAATAATACTTTGCAGGGCTCAACAATAAGGACTGCCCGATGGCCTGGGGCCAGCGTGTCGGATGCTTGGGACAGTAGACAGGATCGTTACTGGCCTGATCGGGCCACTGATGCCCTGTCACTATAAAGTTTATTTTGGCTGTGACTATTTGTCAATTGCGTGCAAAAACCGTCAGAATCGAGAAACAGTTTGTGTTTTTAAGCCTTGAAATGCTACCTTCTCTGTTCCTCTTATCTGATTGGATGTTGTGAGCATGTTTTTTTTTCATAACAACCAGTACAGTGAAGAGACAGCAACATGGCGTCAACATCAAATGATGATGCTACAGGAAAACATTTGTTTCAAACATCTTGGAAGCAGACATTTATGAGGGTAAACCACGACTAAAAAAATTAAGTGATGTTTTGTACAGTCTGCCTTCAGTTTGGCAGGTCAGCCATCTCTTGTTTTGCAATAAAATACCTGCACATTTTGCTACATTTGTTTGCAAAACACTTTGAATTTTGCTCATTATACATTTATTAACATTTTTTAAATATTTAAATTCTAGATTTATAAAAATCTATACATTTTTTGTTTTAATTTGTGGCTAAGAAATAGCTATTCACTTTTTTTTTTGGTGGGGCCAGTGAAAGTATTGGCAGGGCAAGTAAAAATCTGAACCACTGGTCCGATCGGGCAGTAGAAAAAATCTTTAGCGTTGAACCCTGCTTTAAAATCTTTTTTTAAAGCCAGTGCCAGTGTAAAGACCTGAGGTCAGGTGTGATGTGCTCTGATTTCCTGGTTCTGGTCAAAATCCTGGCAGCAGCGTTCTGGATGAGCTCCAACTGTCTGACGGTTTTAGGAAGGCCATTGAGGAGTCCATTACAGTAATCCACCCTGGTGCTGATAAAAGCATGAAAAAGTTTCTCTGAGTTCTCACTGGAAACAAAACCTCTAATTCTTGCAATGTTTTGTATGCGAGTCAATGCTTCAAGCTTTCTTCAAAATATTCCATCTTTTGTTTTACACAAGAAAGTCACACAGGTTTGAAACCAGTAAAGTGTGAATAAATGATGACAGAATTAAAACTTTTGGGTAAAGAATCAATTCAAGATTGTATGATAAGTTATTTTGCCTAGACAATAAAAAAATTCATTAATTCAACCTCAAATTGTTTTTTTTTTTTTGCAATATTATTCATTCTACATTAATTAATCCTAATCCTCTCGAAAGTGGTCTTTAAAATTGAATGCAATTTCTATTTTAAATATGTTGATTGCATCACTTGGATAACAAATTTAGAATTATTTGAGTGATTATCAATATACATCTCAATAAAATGTATATACTTTTTCCAAATAGACCCTGTATCATATTGAGTTTCGATATGTTTAACATTCCAAGATGAATTAGAGAAGAAATATTTTGTCAGGGTCATCACAGCATGTTTGACGTAATGAAACTCACAATTGAGGATCTTTTGGATGCAAAAGCAAACAAAGATGGCAAACACAATATGCTTAACCATTTCCTTCATAACTGATTTCTTTTAGATAGACCTTTATTAAGGCTTTTTTTTTTGCATTCCCAGACAAAAGTACTTTCTGGGAAGACAGAAAATGTCTTTAGATCACAACTGATCAAAACAAGGCCAGGCCATCTAAACACAGCTCAAACAAAAAAACTTTTCCCTCTATAAAAGAACGCTTAGGCCCTTCTTTTCAATCAAAAACATTGTGTTCCCATTCGTGCATTGTGTTGTTCTGTTGATGTAAAAAAAAAAAAATTATATAAAATTATATATATATAATTTATTTATTTATTTATTTTTCATCAGAATCAACTTTTTAACTTGGCATCAGGTAAAAAGACTAAGAAGTAATTATTGTAATACAAACAATAAACAGGCAGATGTGATCAGGATGTGTTTGCATTTTGCTCTGCCTAATTATGTCTTAATGCAATACTGGACAGTAATATTAAAATATCAAATTCTCTATATTTTTATTCATATATGATATTTTCAGGCAAGCTGATGTATCAAGTATTTGAAAGTTTAATTTTCCACCTATGGTCAACAATTATAAAGTAAATGCTTATTGCATTGATAGTGAAAATAAATACCAAATTCACTATACACCTTATTGATGTTTCAAACGTATATAGGCGAATGTATACGGACAGTATATGTAATGCACAGATTCAGGTTAAGTTTCAACCCATAAATAAAACAATATAAAGAACAATACAATTAAAATAAAACAGTAATATTCACAGACAAATTCAGTATAGAGTTTGATAATTTTCAACCATTTTCTAAACAAAATAGTTTTAATAACTTATTTCTAATGATTTATTTTATGTTTGACATGATGACAGTAAATAATATTTTACTAGATATTTTTAAGACACTTATATACAGCTTATTGGTTAATAATAATAATTGGTTCTATATTAACTTGGTTAATTAGGCTAATTAGGCAGGTTAGGGTAATTTTATTGTTATTGTTTAACAATGGTTTGTTTTGTAAACTATCAAAAAATATAGCTTAAAGGGGCTAATAATTTTGACCTTAAAATGGGTTTTACAAAATTAAAAACTGCTTTTATTCTAGCTGAAATAAAACAAAAAAAGAGTTTCTCCAGAAGAAAAAATATTATCAGACATACTGTGAAAATTTCCTTGCGCTGTTAAACACCATTTGCAAAATATTTAAAAAAGAAAAAAATAATTCAAATGGGGAGCTAATAATTCTGATCTCAACTGTGTGTGTGTGTGTGTGTGTGTGTATATATATATATATATATATATATATATATATATATATATATATATATATATATATATATATACATACATACACACACACACACACACACACACACACACACACACATGAGAGAGTTAGATTGATAATTTGCATTATATATTAATGCATTATATAATGCAAACTATCAATCTAACTCTCTATGTCTCTCTATGCATATATATTAAAAAAGGAAAACTTAAATATGTTTGGATTATTGGATATTGAAAACCATCATATTTAATCAGCATACATCCCTTTAAATGTAAACAGGTATGAAGAATAAACAAGTTAAGGAAAACGTTTAAACATTCAAATTTCTCAAAATCATTGTTTGCCATTGCCTGCAGTTGTATCCTTAATCAATCATAATGGGTTTCAGAGAATTAGACCTCAAACATATTAAACAGACCGAGACAAAGCTTTAAGGTACACACACTTCTGCTGGCATGCTAGAAAATCAAATAATACTTCTATATATGTTTGCGTTAGCTTATGAAGGTATTGGTTTTAAGTCAATGTTTTGTGCACGACATCAATTCTGACACCTTTGTCAAC